GAGTTTTGTTGTTGTTTTTTTTTAAGCAATATATTTATTCAGATTTGTATCTGAATAGGGATTGGGGAACAGGCATAGCCTATAGTAAACCCTTCTCCCTGTCAGATATAAAAACATGTATTTACATTTTAGAAATAAATAATCAATGTACACATGGAATGGATTTACATTTTAGAAATAGGCGAATAATGTACAAGTAAAAATGTAGTTACAAATAGTTGTCCCTTGAAGCGTCTGGTGATTTCGAAAAACGAGTGGACAATTTTTAAAATATTGAGTGAGGTTTCTATGTCGCCAATTCCGTGCAGTAAGACAGTAGTGTTTTGATGGATAGTCGGTAAATTATTAATTGTATTATTTTGGGCGTCTGAATATAAGGAGCAATTCAATAAAAAATGTTCAGTATCTTCGAAGTGATGACCACATTTGCAGCATGGATTATCAGTAATATGACGTAAAAATTTATGTCCGTTTAGATTGCTGCAAGAGAGACGCAGTTTACAATGAATAATTTGGTTTGTGCGGGATCCAAACGAAAAAAAAAATGGTGGTGTTGAATCTTGAGCCATCAGTTTCGAATTGAAAATATTTAGAAATGTGGAATTTTTTGTGTCCGCACTTAGTTTGTTCCATTCTCTAATTGACGATGGTATGAAAGAATTATAGAAAATATTTGTTTTACATTTATATTCAGGTAGACATGTGTTTCGGAGATTATAATGTGCGCTTTTTGTCAAGATCAACTCATGAAGATAAGATGTAGATGTGGGACCTCCTTGATAGGAATACTATTTAGTGTAGAATTAAAGAGTTGAGCATCCTATTGTCTTTTTGAGGCAATGTTTTAAACTTCCGACTAAACGTTCCGAAAATCCACCCCACCATGGGCCCTTTTGTACGATGGTGTCCCAAATGACTTGTTTGTTGACAAAGTAATTTGAAATTTCCTCACTTCGTAATATTTTGCTGATAAATTACTGTGCACATTTGAATGTATTGGCATTGTATGACAACAGTCTTGAAGGAAGTCCTCTTCGATTCGAAGATCTTCTGGACGCGAGTAAAAATGATGGGACAGAGAGATCCCTTGTAAGTTCAAATGAAATGAAATGAAATGGGGTTTAACGTCCTACTGGTCCGCTCCGAACTGGGTTAATGAAGTGTGCTATGAGGGAAATTTTGCCCGGAAAGCGGCACTACGGCCTACTCTTATATCGAATTCCAACTGTCAAGGGATCTTTTACGTGCACGGGACCTCGGTTTTTCGTGCCATCCGAACGACTAGACAGCTGTCCTTGTCAAGCCTTCCGCCCTCCATTTGTAAGTTCAAAGTGTACCGCTCTTGTTGAGGCACATGTAAATAAACACACGTATGTTTTTGAATTGTCTCCTAAATCATTTGTATGAAGCGGTCCCGCCAAGTCTAATCCAGTATTTTTAAACGGTGGATCTGAACTAACGCGATCTGCAGGTAAGTCTGGAATTGGCGGACTTGAATAAGGATATCCTTGTTTTTTGCGGCACACGATACATCGACGAACAATCTTTTTGATAGCTTCGCGACCTCTGATTGTCCAAAATGATTCTCTTATACAGTTTAAAGTTTCTCGAATACCGTTATATGGTGAACTTTGTGCTGAGCATCTTGGATATTTAATTTTGTGAAACAATGTTTTGATGGCAGCAGATATCGGCGTTTACTTTGCTCGCATACATTCGAATCACCAATACGGTAGATTATCTCTAACTACCAGAGTTGATGCACTTGGAATAGGTTTGTTGGATGTCCCCTGACTGCCTCTGAGATTTCTCGTGTCTGCACCTCAGTTTTGATGGCAGTGATCAATTCTGGGAACTCCCATACGTCTTTTGCTGTAACACGGCTACTTGAACACGAATGAGGTAACGGGGGTGAGAAAACATCCGCCAACCCGACATCACGACACCACGATAACCCGACATCACGACATCACGACACCACGACAATTTAACCCGACAATACGACATTTTTACGCGACATTACGGCATTTTTAATGTCGTGGTGTCAGTTGAAAATGTTCATTTTTTTTGTGATTCTCGCCCGTGAATTACGCAACTTCAAAGTTTCCAATTGGTTTGTAACCAAAATCTCACTCTATGCCGACCTGTATTCCAACCATTCACTCAGACTGCTGCAGCTGCATTCGCAAATAATAATCGATGCCTGAAAAATGTCGCACAAAGTAGAGTGACTGCAGATAAAATGTTTTAATCCATAGTCAATTAATTACGAAATTCGTGGTATTCATTTAATAGAAAAGTAAAATTAATGTGTTATTAGATATCGGGAACTTTATTTTGCCAACTAGATGAAATAATAACTTTTGTTTTCACTTTACCCGTCTGAGCGAAAAGTCAAATTGCCCGAAAGTTACGGTACGGGGGTAGCCCCCCCCCCCCTCCTCCCGGCTCCTACGCCCATGCATAACCGAGCCGTTGGCGCATCCGATCAACCTGATTCTATAGGGTTATGATTACCTATTCCACCTAATTGACCTTAGTATTATAATAATGTTTGCCAGTATACGGATCAACTGTCAATATGGTATGTAAATTCATTAAAATGATGAACCTACCTGTTATGATTATACTCTTTCCTTCTAGTGACGTCATCTTAAAGGAGCTAAATCACTAATATTTGGGACCTAGAAATTGACACAATAATGTAATATTAATCTTTAAAATAAACTGGAATACGTGCAATCTTTTCTGTTTTTACTGTGATTTCTAATCAGTTATGTTCGGCGAAATACGCCAGAAGTCACAATAACTAGCGTCTGGTTATTCCAGTCTACACCAATAGTATTTATTGCGCATGTTCTCCGGGTAAGATTATGGCGGCACCGTTTGGCATGACTTGTGGAATATGTCTAGCCTCGTTCTTCGAGTCTCTTGAGACGTTAGCTACTTTAATACCTTATGTAACCCGGAGGTTGACCCCGAATATATATACTGTATACTCGTCACGTGATTGTAGGTTACAAATCAAGTGAGAATATTATAAACTAACTTACAAACAAAGTGGGAATTTATTGTGTGGTTAATTGAGGGAAGAGTCTTGGTGTATGTAAATCAATTCTTTCTATATACATAACAATATTAAAACACGTTGTAATAATCGTACCAACTAGGGCTAGTCTGAGTGTCGTACCAACTAGGGCTATTCTGAGTGTCGTACCACCTAGGGCTAGTCTGGGTGCTGTACGAACTAGTCCTAGTCTGTAAATGTTGTAAGCATATCATCATATTATAATACGTTTCCCACCTTTATATTTCCAGCCCTGGTCACATTTCAACAGAAATCTTTAAAAAAACAGGATTTTCAAAAGAGGACCTAACGAAGGTAGATATCACTTATTGTTTTAAATACATCTCTATTTTACTGTTCCTGAACATTGTACTAACAACCACACCTATCAACCCAATTCTAATTATAAATTAAACCGGATTCCGTTTCATTTTTCACCTATATTCTAGGTTATACAGGTCACAATTCTATAGAATACAATTACTGCTTTTTACTGAGCGACGTTTCGACTAGGCTTCTCTAGTCATTATCAAGCTATGATAAAAAATGAAAATATGACAGGACAATATATACATGTACACAACAATGCTTAGTTAATGCTGACAAACCAGGGATGTAACTTAATGACGTGTACCTACTGGTAATCTGATTAAATTAAACGCTAATAAGTAATAATACCGCTAATAGTAGTAAGTAATTAACTAAGCATTGTTGTGTAGATGTATATGAAAACAGTGTTAGTGTCTCTTTTGTTTATTTACTTTAATATCTAACATATAAATCAGATGTTTAATATTTCTGATCCAATAAAATCATAAATTATTGGTGAGTTGATGTGATCACATTTGGGTAAGTTCATTATCAAATCAGGAATATTCATATACCGTCTAATAATAGTAGCTGTATCGAGTGGACGTTAAACCCCATTTCTCTCTCTCTCTCTACCAAAGATTGCAGTTTAGAATAATGCATCTCTTACTGTTTGACACGGTGAACTTTTCTTTTAGAATTTAAAAAGGCATATGAAAAACGTGACTAAACTTTTAACCTCAAAATACCAAATCATGGCACATATTACTTACAGTCTGTCACTGCCAACATTTAATGTACAACCTCTCAATACTATTACATTACATTTAATTTTCAAGACCACGCATAGATCGAGAATAAAAAATCGATTTTCCCGAAATCTCTTGGATTGCAATATGATTGTAATTTCAAACAAAAAAACAACATTCTCTTTTAAGTGCTAGCCCATGTATTTGTTGTTTGGGCCGATTTATTCAAAGACAAAACAGCAACACACAAAAATCTTATAACCCATCACAAACTTGAAAATGGAACTGGGACTATAGATAATTGGTGAACCACGGTGGCTCAGTGAGTAACCCGGGGGCTCTGTGTTCGATCCATGCGTTGACCGAGAAAGTTCTTCGTGAGTTTCCGGCATGGCGCCACCTTGTCAGTGGGACATGACAGTGGGCATGGCAAGGGAAAACCTATAGTCCTTCGGATGGGACGAAGCGACGAAAAACGGAGGCCCCTTTTACACATTGGCGTGCACGTAAAAGATCCCCTGGAAGTTGGAATTCTATATAAGAGTAGGTCTTAGCGCCCTGTCCGACTCAAATGGCCCTCATAGCACACTGTATGGCGTATGCCCGTCTTCATTAGCCCAGGTTAGGAGCAGAACAGTAGGACGTTAAACCCCAGTTCATTTCATGGTCATTCATTTCGTTAAACAGGCGTCCAATATCCTCGGGGGAACATATCACAATTATTATATGATTTTAGTAAAACCGTTGGTTCCACCTGTTGCTGTTGGCCTATATTCTGGGTCGAACCTACATTGCAACCCGTCACATCCCAGGACCTGGACAATTGTCGAAAAAGTTGCACAGTGTCCGCCATTTGTATAAAAAAATAAGAATAGTTCACATGAGAGTATATTTATTTCGTTCATATTCTATCAGATGATCATATCCCCATTCATCATACCATCTACAGCTGCCTTGGCTATATTCATCACATGATACTCTTGGTTGACCTTCTGACCTCACTGGGTTGACAGGCTCCTGTGGTCGTTTTCCCAGAGAGTAAAAATTCTTGTGATAATACCTAGGAAAAAGACAACGCATATATACATGTTAATTCTATTAAAATTAGATTATAATTTCATTTTGTTTAATTTTTCTAATTTTATTACAAAACAGAAAATGTGATTGACTGGATATCAGATTATCCTGAAATGCGATCGACCTTATATAATGTCTTAGTGTGATATACAAGAACCGACCCAGTTCGGTTACTGATGCTCACATGACGTCAACACAGCCGGCCATCTTGGAATTGCGTTTAAGAGCGTTGAACCAAGAAGAGGGGGGTTACCTGCACCAAAAAGTACCAACCGAAATCTCAATGGTTGACCACAGTCGGTCATTTTAATACACGGATACATTGCTTGCAGGTTATGTTTATTTTTCAAACATTCATGATCTTAAAACAAGCGAGGATTCACATGGGAATCAATAATAACCTCAGAATAATTTAAGTTTAATTTTTGTCATCGTCATTTCTTTATTTTATATTCATTTATTAACAATATTTTATCTTTCCAGACATATGTGTCACCTACCATCTTATAAGAATGTATTTTTGTCCACTTTTAACAACGGATGCCTCGTGTCGAGACTCGGGCTCACATTTACCCGTCTTATCCATGTTATTCCATAATAACGCCCGTCCTTTTCTGGGTTTTACCCAGATTCCCAGATCTGTAATATTGAAAAATGATCCCAAAAAAATCGCATTAAGTGTATTATTTATTTCTCATCAACATTTGATTTAATCGGAATCCACCCATTTGCATTTAATGAAAATTGTTGATATCAAAAATTTAAAATTTAGATGAAGCAAAGTAAAATCTATGTATTGGTGGATAAATAAATATTGACTGTAAGGCAACAAAACAAGCAGCTTAGTCAACAGAACACAAAAACATAAAACACAATTATTATTTTAATTAAACCGACGTTTAGTAGAGGATTCTCTCAAAGTCTTAATTAATATAGTAATTGTGATCCATATTATATTTTTCTGTTTATTTTAATTAAAGCGACGTTTTCTTAATAACGAAACGTCAATTTATTAAAGACGGTACTGTTCAAAATCTTTATAAATGCCGCTCAAAGAAGAACCTATAATAACAATACTAGTCAACGTGTATATATTTATATGACTGGTACATGTAGTTGTGTATATATTTATAACTGGTACATGTAGTTGTGTATATATTTATAACTGGTACATGTAGTTGTGTATATATTTATATGACAGGTACATGTAGATGTTGTATATATTTATATAACTGGTACATGTAGATGTTGTATATATTTATATGACAGGTACATGTAGATGTTGTATATATTTATATAACTGGTACATGTAGATGTTGTATATATTTATATGACAGGTACATGTAGATGTTGTATATATTTATATGACAGGTACATGTAGATGTTGTATATATTTATATGACAGGTACATGTAGTTGTGTATATATTAGGATGTTAAAGTAGGATTGGATATTATAACATACCTGGGAATTCTGTTTTTCCACCATCAGCTACATCGTTCAGATAGACGAGTACTGATGCCATGCGATCTCTTTTATCCGTTCCATCTACGATACAATCCGTGTGGGTCTTGTAAGCTGTAATGTGAACAAGGGGAGGTTAGAAAAGTTGAGAACAACCCAGTTTATGTAAATATGTTACACGCAACCAAAACAGCTTTCACAGTCCATAACTTTTATTATAGAACGAGCGGTTTACAAAAACATGGAGCGGCGGAGTAAGAGTAACATCTAGCATTCTCAGAGGAATAAACATAACAATTCCTTACAAACAATTACTAAACTAATTTTATTGAAATACGATTAGGAAAAAAGGTGTAAAGGCAGTGGATTCATTGGTGATCTGACTGAATTTGGTTTTTCCTCTCCTCCGTGCTATACCTAGCCCTGTATGACAACCTCATGATAAAACGACTAATTATAAATTAGAGTTAACTCCCCTTGACTCGCCTTATCAAGACCTAAAATTGACCCCCTTTTCCTAAAAAACTACCGAATTATTTAAGGCTCATACACTAAAGGCAGCGTAAGGCACGTAAAAAGGATTACGTCCCCGATTGCCTGGAGATATGACAATAAGCCCGTGTATGCAACAACTCAATCCTAACACAGATGGTGAAATATGATCAACAATACCCAAAGTACATGAACCTTCAACTGGGTGAATCCTCTGAAAACATGGCTACAGTTTCTGTGCCTCGTCAGGATTTCGAAGGTACCCAAATTCAATCTCTCAATGTTCAACGTACACTTGTGAAAATGCCTTGCAATGGTCTTAGTCTCGTGCATTCCTGCCGCAATTGTCTCTATTTCGATTACGACGAATAGTAGTCTGATAAATGTCTTCTGGGAAAAATTGTCTCATTCTGTTAGTTAACAATCACTGTAAAGTTGATATCGTTGATTTATGAGCAAATCATGTTTGCTTACTGTTGTTTAGGTTATGTGTATCTAATAGTGATGGGTGTTTTAAATAGTCACGGTTTTACATTAGAAGTGTCATCTTTCACAGATAGTTACACATCTCCTAATTAATGACTACTGTATAATTTGTAACCACTTTCTATATACGTGTGGTTTAATGTTCGAGAACGAGACATTTAGTAATATATTGAAGCACCACGAGGGGTGTTAGTACCGAGCTGTTGTTTCGATATATTACGCAATGTCTTAAGCTCGAAATCATTAAACAACTTAAAATACAAACATTCGTACGTGCTTTGCAATGAAATACGTCACGTGGATCTAATATTGCAACTAGTATAAATAATGTACGCTTGGCACAATGTACATACTAAACAGTAGTTTAGAATAATGATCACTTGTATGATTTAATGAGAACAATTTTCAAATACAAGGAGAATCTCCGTATTAACATTATTTTTGATTTACTCGAATTGGAGACAATATCAGTCTAAATGATAGAGACTATAGTCTAGTGTGACTAGGCGGGATACTTGGTTGTCTTTCCAGAACGTGCCAAATTGAAAGAATTGCTGTCGAATGCCAGAGATACCCGAGTCGGGCCCTCTTTGGACATTCAGAAATGGAATTCTCCCAAATCTCAAAAATGGTGACAACTAAGCGAAAGGGTGATCCCGGGCTACAACGCATGCACTAACTGCATAAGAAAATGTCTCAACCAACCATGACAGCTGAAACATATTCGTTGTGTTTAATTACGCCACAATTCTACACACACCACCTCCATTGTCGGGACGGCCAGAGCTGTGATAGGGTTAAATTCCACGTCACTTGATTCTGTCAATTCGAGACGTTCCGCACTGACAGCCGAGCATGTCTAAACGGGTTATTTGAAGGACTTTCCCAACAGGATATGACGTTAATAGAAGTACCTTTCCCAACAGGATATGGCGTTAATAGAAGTATATTTCCCAACAGGATATGACGTTAATAGAAGTACCTTTCCCAACAGGATATGACGTAAGTTGAAATTTACCACCATGAGATGGAGGTAAACCCATGGCTTTATGGATTCTATTTTCCAACACGGTAGAGAATGGACTTTCACCCGGATAAAAAGCAGTACTATAACTCCAGTTACCATTAAACCATTTCTTTAATTTCAAAGAAAAACTCGCATTAACACAAGTTGTTCCTGAAAATAACAGAACGAAAATATTATTTCAAATAAACCTAAAATTAGTTAGCTCTCTGTTCTAGAAACTGTAAACAGTGATAGAGAACTCAACACAAACTATGTCCTTTTGGGACTAACATACGGTTCAATTCTTTTTCAATAATTCGCTTGTGGGTAGGGGTCTTTAGTAGTGGGAGGAAACCGGGGATATAGGCCACCCTACCCCTTGTCACGCACAATCTGGGAATAAAAACCTTATGATCTAAACAACGCGCCTAGAGACCATTCTCACTCCGACCTTGAAATACGAGTGATATATAAATATATAAAGATATAATTATGATGGCACAAATTACTGGGATCCTGAATACTAAAAATATCGACTATTTATTAGTAATTAATGGAATGAACATTAACTCTTAAAGTTTTGTTGATTAATATTTTCTTCAGGGTGCAATACACATGTGGCGATGGTATTTACACTTAGGTTTAATAATTTCATTCCAAAAAACTTATATATCATGAGAAATTAGATCTAATACCAGATGTTTGCTGAACCATTGGTAAATTTAATTATAGAGCTATTATTCAATATCCAACACTTCTCCCTTCCAATAAATTTCGCCAAATACTGGGGTCTGTTTCATGAAATTTTAACTAAGATAAAATCCAAATTTTAGTAATTTGATTGGACAATATTAGGTTGATTTTAGTGTTCAGCCAATCAAAATTGAACTATCTGCTAAAATTTGGATTTTATCTTTAGTTAAGATTTCGAGAAACAGGGCCCTGATAACCGACCTAGACCCTCCGTACGCTGAATACTAAGAGGTTCTGGGTGATCAAGACTACCCATCGCTTAAGCTGTTGGGCAGGTCGTTACCTTTGGATCAAATACAGCAGAGTCGCCAGCAAATAAAAGCAAGTACAACAAAAACCTGTTAGCTACTAATCTAATGTGATATCCGTTTTGATGCGTATGTGTAAATCGAATTCATATGATCAAAAATGCTTCGTTGAATTGCACGCTTTTTCCTAAACTCAACCCCGTGAAGATGTTTATGTGTAAATTGGCTTATAAAGAATTTAGATGGCTCCATTACTTTTCCTTACCTTCCATAAAATCGTTAGGTGTAACTCTTATTTTCTTCTGGGCATCTTTCAGGTGTTTTCTCAGAGTCTTAATACTATCAAAACAAATAAAGGGGTCGTGAAGAGAAGCTTGTGCCACGTGATTATCGTGGGCTCTCATCAACCCTTCTGCTTCAACTTCTGATAAAAACTCGTCAAAAAGATAAACCCTGAAAATATTTAAAATATTTAACCAGTTCAGGAGTTTTTCTGAAGCAGATATTTTTTTCCTAAAGGTACACACACTGTTAGGCACAGTTTTATTCTTTGTTTTTTTGTTTGTTTTTTTTTTACTGTTGCGCCATTTTGATATGTTAGAAAAATAGTTTCTAAAATGCATTTAGAAATATTTTCAAATATTTCATGAACTTGTATCATGAATTGAACGGGAGAGAAATTGAGTTTATAGGTTGATTTGTTGTTGCGAAATAGGTAATTTTGCTAGAGTCAACGTTGCAAGGTTAATATTCAAGTTTCGTTAAAAAAAAAAAAAAATGCAATATTTCATTGGCACCGTAAGTGACGTCATTTCCACAAATATATTTGCTCAGTAATTTGCACATTTCCAATAGATTTTAATGAGTTTCATTCGGTGTCAAATCACCCCCCAAAATTGAAACAGTAACCCGTACTCACTTCACTTTCCTCTAATTTGGTCGATATGCTCATTCCAAATTTCGGTTTCATTGGAGTAACCAATCGGTTACTAAGTTGCGGTGATTAGAATAGCCAAAACTGAACGGGCTATATCTCAGGAAAACCAACCTTTTTAAGCTAAAATCAGGCAATTCAAAGAGGGTAGGGTTTGTGCCATTGTTTAATTTAACAAGGAATGACCCATTATCTTGACGATCGGGGGAAATACAGCTTGAGACCAATAAATAGAATTATTATAAACATAATAAAACAAATCAGATTGGGTCGACAACTGATAAAAGATAATATGCCTGGGATTGAACTTCTAAATTCTGTAATGTATTATACCCAGGGGCGTATATAACGATTATGCTTTGGGGTGGGTGGGGTCGGGTCTTTAGCAGTGGGAGGGAACCGGAGAAAACCCACGAAGTTGGACAGGCGACCCTGCTTCTTGTCACGTACAACCGGCGGAGAATCGAAACCACGACAGGTGACTCAATGACAGACCTTATGATACAGCGCGCACGTGCTAACCATTCGGCCATCCACCCCCGGGTTGTTTAGCAAAAACGCGACCGACCGATGCACTTGCCTCTAATACGAGTGACACAGTCAGGAGCCCAGCATCACAGGTGCGAGTTTTTCTAGGGGGTCCGCCCCATCACCCCCCCCCCCGGACCCCACCGAAACATTTTTGAATCTAGATTCACTGAAATGTCATTTCCTGAACTTTGGAGGAAGATTTTGCAGAATTTTGATGGCAGGAAAACACTTATAACATGAATAAATTAAGTTTTAATTTCTACTGGGATTGAATATGCAACAAGTAAGAATTCTTAAGTTCAATAGATCGTCTTAACATTTCATAATTTAAAGATGTTTTACTATTTCTGAAACCTTCACCTTCTCTTTTACCAATACAAAAGATAAAACTATGCTTCCGATAACTTCTTATCTGTTCAACTAATATTATTCATATGACAATCAAGAATATATTTTGAAATATCAAAATCTTTGTAATATCAAAATCTCTCAATTTCATAGACCAATATACTCATAACAGGGAAATTTTTTTAAACATAACAAGTTGATTAGGTTATTTTGTACTATACCTTTGCAGTTTAGGTGCATGGATTCACACAAATACAGTCTAATAAAAATGTGTGCACATATGAATTTAAGCGCCAAAATATAGAATTATCATGTATTTATCTTGTCTAAAAATTTCAGTTCAAACTCTGAAATCGTTTGGAGGTGAACGTCAAAAGCTTTTATTCGGACACGTAACCCTGATAATCTACTGCTGTTCCTTTAGAAGTCTCTATAGTGTATGACCCACGTGCTGTACTTTGACCTACTTTCAGGTAAATTTCACCTACACGTTATTTTTATCAAATAAAAGTCTGGTTTTATCCAGACACCCGTCTCCATTTCCAGATAAATATTGGCGGGTTTAAGTTGTTTGAAAACGTATCACGTATATTGAGTTAGTTGCTCGGCCACAAGGTAGATGATTTTGAGGAATTTTAATACAAAATTAAGTTATATTTATAGCACGGCTTTCATGAACTAACGGGTGTTACCGGAGGCCGAAGGCCGAGAGGTTATACCTGTTAACGAATGAAGCTTGCTATAAATGACTTGTAACATTGACAACTGCTCAACATGCTTATTGTTATTGCACAGAAAACCCACCCCACTTCTCTATATGATTCTACTAAAACTAGTGTAAACCAGCAAAAGTGTGCAATAACATTGAACATGTCTAGTTATTGCACGGTTAAGCTCCACTCAATCTGCTAGAGGGAAAACAATCTGCTTATTCAACGAAAAGAATAAAGGAAGATTTCCCATCCATGTTACAAGCAGTTTTATTCTCCAAAACATAATCGAGGTTGGCTCTTTAAGTATTTGGATTTTTTCCCTCGTATTTTGGCATTGTTTGTTAACCTCATTAATTCATTTAGTTTGAGACTGACTATCATGAGCACTTATTTTGAGACCGACTATTTTTTTCCCTCGGGGAAAAACATTTCTTAGACCAACCTACTCAGAGCAGAGTAATAGTGAAAAACGTTTCTTCAGACATGGCAAGTTTACAAGGTTATTTTGAACTAGTTTTTTTTGTGAAGTATGCAGTTTAGGTGCACGGATTCACACAAATTAAATACATATATTAAGTATTTTAGATTTTTCCCTCGGGGGAATTTTTTTTCTTAGACAAACTCACAACTGAATAAGAGTGAATTTTTTTTTCAAACATGACAAGTTGACAAGGTTATTTTATACTATAGTTTGTTTGCGTGCGTAGCGTGACGTATGCAATTTAGGTGAACGGATTCCCGCAAATACATTTATTTCTTATTCTGTTCTGGGGGGGGGGGCTCAGATGAGGTTTGTTGCCATAACAAGATCTGACGTCCTACTGTTCTGCTCCGACTAAGCTGATGAAGACGCGACGGGGGGGGGGGGCTCAGATGAAGTCATTACAAAATCTGGTGTCCTATTGTTCTGCTCAGATGAACTATTGCCTTAATACCACGAAACCCGGCTTTAGAGTCCTATAACGTAAGCCTCAAAAAGTCTGGACGTGCGCGTCGATTATAATGGTAGTTAAAATGTATTGTGGAACAACTTTATTTCTAATATATTTATATATTTACTTACTTGACGCTGCTGTTGTTTGGTTTTTGAGATAATAGTTCCACAGCTGGTACACGTCGCCCATCAATGAATGTTTTCTTGGGATCAATCGTTGAAACTATACTGGCTTTAAAATCCTTGAAATCTGGAGGTAGATTCGGGTCCGTCTTGGTTTTGGACGCGACATCCCGTTTAGATTTTGATGATTTCAATTCGCTTTGTTTATTACTTGAAGGTTTGCCTTTATTTGATTTGGGCGACTTGTTGTGTTTTGATGGCGTGCTGTTTTGAGATTTAGTTGGTTTGTCATTACTTTGGGACGATTTTGGTTTAGATTGTGTTGGGCGCTTTCTTGTTGAACCATCAATATCCTCTGGTGTCAACACAATCGATTCTTTTCCATTTCCACCAAACTTTATGATGCTTTCATCACCGGATATTTTCCACCCTGATTCAACCTCACCCGGCTGTCCAAGAGAGCTTTCGTCAAATTCGTCCACGACTTCAACTTCCAATTCACCAGTTTCTTTCTGCATCGCTTCAAGCTCCGATTCCATTAAATCCTCTGGCGGTTTTTCTTCGTCTGGTTTTGAATCATGGCCATTCGATTCGTCCTCCTCAAGAAAGAATTCTTCATGTTCTGGGTCATGCTCAGAGTGGACTTCTTCAAACTTTAGACCAGGGCGGAGTTCTTCTTCGATTTCGCCCTCCTCAGGTTCCAACGTCGATTCCTGTACTTCCCCTGCTGATTCTAAATCAGCAGCGACCTTTTCTTTCTCTAACACATTTTCAGCGTCTCCAGGGTCGTCTTCTAAACCATGTAGGTCGTATTCATCTTCTTCTTCTTCTTCTGGTTCTTCTTCGTCTTCTTCTTCTTCTCCTTCTTCTGAGTCTTGTTCAGCATCTCCTTTGATTAAATCACTGCTCTGGTCTGATTCTGTTAAACCTGGATCCCCCGATTCAATCAGCGTATCCCTTTGAGAAGATAAAGTCTTCAGGAGTCTAGAAATATCGGGATAAAACAGGAAACCACATAAACCGATCATGAGCGCGAGAAGAAGAAGAAAACGAAGGGATGAGAGTGTAGTCTGAGATAACATCACATCTTGATCTTTTTTAGGATGATTGTCGTTAGACTTTGGTGATCGACCCACATGAGCTCGCTTTCTTGCCATCTTGAACTTGGTTTATAACTGAAATATATAATCCGATTTAAGTTACCGGAAACATAATTATTATTCGATATTGTTTGATGTAGTACAAAAGGCCGTGGTTTTGATCCCAGGAATACGGTCGTCTGCTTAGCCTCGTGAGTTTGCTTTGGTTCCCACCTCTGCTAATTCTAAAGATCCGTACAATGTTACTTCCAACACGAGCTATTCTCATATACCATGCTATTCTCATATACCATGCTTTCACTGGCTCGTACAATGTTACTTCCGACACGAGCTATTCTCATATACCATGCTATCACTGGCTCGTATGAATCCGTTCTTGGAATTTCATGAGGTTGACTAGCTGTTCGTTGGTTTACACAGGTCAATCCTAGCTCTGCTATATGCAGGACTGGGAAGTACATCCGGGCGTTATTGGCTTACACAGGCCAATCCTAGCTCTGTTATATGCAGGACTGGGAAGTACGTCCGGGCGTTATTGGCCTACAGCAAGTCATGATTCAAATAGACAATAAAAAGTGCAATGAAATGGTGTTTTCTGCACCAATCTGGCTAATTAGGACGGGTTGTCGCCATGACATGTGTTTTGAGAGTAGTTTCCCCCTGATCTTAATCATGTGTAGATCATTTTCTACCATGCCAAAACGTATTCTTTGAATGGCATTGAGTAATTGGAACATAACCAAATAACACACTATTTATGGTATAACAATTACTGTGGTTTATTTCACTGCGACGATTCAACAAGATTTCACAAGTAGTTATCAAGCCTATAACACAAATAAATAAAATGAAAATAATACGGTTTTATATATATATATATATACTAGCAGGATACCCGGCTTCGCTCGGGGGTCATAACTCCGAAACCGGAAGTGGTAGACTAACGCCACCTGGCCTGTTACTCCCCGGTCCGAGCTACCCCTATACCCCAAATTTCAGACTCGGGGCAGACCTAGTGTAGCCGCCAACTCCGAACAGACCGGCTTCGCTCGGGGGGGGGGGGGTCATAACTCCGAAACCGGAAGTGGTAGACTAACGCCACCTGGCCTATGTTACTCCCCGGTCCGAGCTACCCCTATACCCCAAATTTTAGACTCGGGGCAGACCTAGTGTAGCCGCCAACCCCGAACAGACAGACAAACGACAGTCACAAATATATATATAGATAGATAGATAGATACAAGAGCAGTGCGAACCCTCCATAGAATAGGTAGACTGACCGTATCCCGGCAAAGTTGCCTGATAGTCGCATAAGATTTAACTGAAGTATTATAAATTGAATTTATAACAAACACATTACCACTGAGTGACAGATGACAATGGATCACATTTCCAACACTTTAATTTTAAAACTAATAAGCCAACAGTGAGGCGAATGTCCCATGTCTCAATCCCAAAATACATAGATGCCACATATTAATTGCACATTTATCTTTTTGAGAAGTTTAGAGCAATCAAACTGATTATCTATATTTTGTCTAAGCAGACAATTTTGATTTCACGATCGAACTCGGTCAAGATTTTGACGTTCCCTGAATGGTTAGCGTCTATCAGTGAGTCGACTGGCGTGGTTTCGAATCCCCGGTTGTACGTGACAAGGAGTAGGGTCGCCTGTCCAACCTCGTGGGTTTTCTCCGGGTCCTCCGGTTTCCTCCCACTGCTAAAGACCCCTACGCGCAAGCGAATTATGTAAATAAAATTAAACCATATGTTAGTCCCGAAATGACCTGGTTTGTGTCGAGTGGACATTAAACCCCATTTCTCTCTCTCTCTCTCTCTCTCTGTCTGTATACATGTACACGAAGTTTAACTTTTCGACCTCAATTAAAAGCAGAGTTGATATGTTCCAAAGCTAAATAGCCAATGTAGAACATTCTCATCATCGAAATTGGTCAAGTCTTGAGTTTCATCACTCTCACCCAATTAGAACCAAGGTACACAAAGTATATTTGCAAATATGTGTTTATAGGTGTACAAATTGACGCGGGAACCAAACAGGAACCCCATTTGGCTTCACTACGGCGATAGACCACCCTCTCCACTCCATGAATTTCCTTGAGACGGGCGTGACGTTTAGTATATTTTTAAAGTATATAAAATTTACCTGCAGTTGAAATGATTATATATCCTGTATATACGACTATTATAACTTGACGTTTATCACATACTTTACTAGTGATATCGATTGATAACCTACAGATACCGCAGTGTCACGTGACCTAGAACCGTCACTGTTATCTTAGTTTCTACAATACTGATGAGTGATTAACCAGCAACCCTGTGTTTGACGCCATTGAAGCGCGTCTCTTCTACATGTATAAATATATGTTTTATATTTTATAGCAAATTGTGCTTGTCTGCCACGTTCTGCATAATCGTCACCAATCTCGAGTCTTGTTCGGAGATTGCTCTCCATCGCAAACGTGGGGTGGTTTTCATTAATTGATTATGATGAGAAAAATGAAATGGGGTTTTAATGGCCCACTTGTCTGCTCGACTGTGCCTACGCAGTTGCATATAACGATGTCTCCGCCTTCTCCTCTTGCAATCCCAACTCCCAAGAAGGTTTTTTCGTTGTTACGTAGCACCCGAACAAATATAAAAAAAGTCCCCAGGAATATTCTCTTAAAAACTGAGTAACCGTGGCTCCAAGAAGAGAGGCGGTAGATATGACCGGGACGAGCAGTGTACAACCACAAGTGTCTTTTAATGATATGGGCCTCTATGAATCAGTCTACAAACCCGTCATCTTTAAAGTATTTATACATGTGGGATAAATAGATAAGTTTAATAGATTAGATACATGTAAAGTTAGACGCGGATCACATCTTTTAATCAACGTCAGTCATTGTATTTGATGTTAAGTATACACTGTTAAATATAATAAGGTAGAAACTAGTTGCCACCTAAATAGGGGTATCTCCTAGCCTTTAATGGTGTAAACTGATAACACCTAACTAGTGTAGAATATTACACCAATTCAGGCGGAAACTAGTTGCCATTTCCAGTCGTGTAACCTGCCTGATGCACCAGGCAGTGTAATGTTACACTTAAATAGTTTACATCCGTGGGTGTAAATTGAGCATTCCCCCTCAAGGATGTTTCTTATAAATTACACTTCCAATTTAATCATTACACCAACGCGGGTGTAATTTGTTTTGTTTGGATATTTATTTCAAGCCAACGACTTCTAAGTTCAGAAAACCTGAAATTTGCTATAGGTCTTTATGTTAATTAGTATAGGGCGTTTAGCCCTAACCTAGATTACATATAGAACGTCGGCTACTTAGCTTCATTTTACAATGACATTAAATTGACAAATATCCACAAGACTGATTCAAATTCAACTGCTGTTGGGTAATTAGACAATCTGTATCGATTTTCATGTGGCCACAATTGTTTGTCGAAAATGATCTTGCATAACAGAACCAACACACTTTGAAACCTGTTTCAAAAATACGTAAAAAACTGTCAAATCGAAATCTCTCCGATTTATTTTCACAACGATTGTTATACATAATGATACTAGTTATCTGAAAAACAATTGAATAGTTTCAGTGTTGGACTCCAGCCTGCAGGCCGCGTGAATTCCGAGAATCCCAGTCTAGGAAAACCGACGTTAATCTGTGACGGGAAAACACGCATCTGGCGACGAGATTAAAAGTTTGCAAACTTTTTATGAGTTTTTATGAATTTCGCCGGAACATGGACGCAGATAAAACCGACGAATGCATTGTACATAGTAGTTCACAGGATATATATGTCGTATTGGTAAATGTTAGCGGGGAAAATTTTGGCAGGCTTTGTGACGCGGCCTGCAGGCTGGAGTCCAGCCATGGAACTATTTAATTGTTTTTTCAGACAACTAGTATCATCATGTATAGCATTCATTGTAAAACTAATTCAGAGAGATTTTGATTTAACAGTTTTTACGTATTTTTGAAACAGGCTCCGAAGCGTTTTGGTTCTGTTATGCAAGATTATTTTCGACGTTCCAAAGTAAAAGTTTTAAATGTTCCTATTATTAATTAGAACAGGTTTCGCTTTAGTTTTTATATTTTACGCCGACATTTATTACTTTAAATCTTCCTAGTGCTAAAACGGAAAATGTGACCTTTTGACCTCTGGGGTCACAAACAACAAAGGTGAATTTAGCAAATTTACATTTTTATTGAAAGTGTGATTACTTTCGATCATTTTCAGCTTATTTTCATGATACAAGAATGGCCGCGCTTTCACTTTCAGTGCAAATGAACCCATTTGACCTTTGACCCTGAATATCTCGAAAACGGCCCAACGGCGGACTGATTACCACTCGGCATCGTATTCTACGCAAAATAAAATTTTACTCTAGAAAAGTTGGGTCTAGTTTTGTGCCCATTTGATGGACCCCCCCCCCCCACCGCGCTGAGCCTCCAGACTATAAGGAAATCAAACTCGCATAATATAAGAAATTCGGTGGACGACTGTGACTGCACAGTGATACATTTCGTTCGACAAAACAACGAGAATTTTCCTTTCTCTTCTAAAGTATGTAATCATGAATGTGCCAGGAAATAACTGGTAGATTCAAAGAAGTACAGAAACATACTTTCCAGTGATGTATAGCACCATAACTGGAATTTTAACACCTGTATTTTCACATTTTAAATACTCTCTCTCTCTCTCTTTAATTTCAAGTTATGAAAATATGAATTTGTCAGAACATTATTTGCATATTTGAAAAGAGCAATAAACGTGCTTTTCAGTGATACGTAACATGATATCTGGAATTTTGTATTAAGACCCGTATGTTTACTGTAAACACCCCACCCCCGTCATTTAATAGAGTTTCTTACCCCCCGACGTTTTTCAAGATATGAATGTGCCAGATATTTATTTACAAATATAAAAGGGCAGTGAACGTGCTTTTCAGTTATTTAACATATTTAAAATTTCGTATGAAGACCCGTATTTTAACATTGATCCCCGCCACACCCCCACACGGTCACTTAATAGAGGTTAGGCTAGTATCATTCAAATGATCTTTTTTCAGGTTATGAAAATACAAATGTGCCAGATTTTTTTTTTTTACATATTTACAAAGAGAAATGAACGTGCTTTCACTGATATGTAACTACTACATGACATCTGGAATTCCGTATTAAGACCCGTATATTGCATACCTCACCCCCCTTCTTGTAATCATAGTACCATCCAAATTTGATCGTTTGTCAAGGTTAATTAAATTTCTTATAGTGTGTCAGGTTTATTTTCTCTTGTAGTGTGGGTTAGGGTTAGGGTGCCGGGTTGATATATTCTGATTTTTGGTTTATCTTAAGATTTTTAATGCTTTTAACGTATATTGCAAATTTCTCGTGAGAGTCCAGTAAAGATAATCTTGATAAACTTAAGATGTTTTGTTGATAGTGGGGTCTAGAGAGCTTACGGCTATAGGTGAGTAATACATCATCATTAGTAGATTTTAATATTTTTTGGCAAAACAAAAATAGAACATACTGTCTTTTTTATCAGTCCATAAGTTTGATAAAAAAAGGAGGGGGGGGGGCGATTTTGAATAAACATCCATAAATAATAGTGAACAGTGTCAATTAAAGAATTTTAGCCTGGAATTTTAGCCTGTGTAAAACTTTAAGTCTTTTTTGCTTGACGTATGGTTCTACTTCTACCGGCCTTTGTCCGTACCGCTTGGCATGCAGCAACTTTCTCCATGGAAGGCAATTTCTATTACCATTTTCTGATTTTAAATCATCAATGAATCATTTTATATACGATCTGTCAACATTCTTGGGATCTTACAAACAAACATTGCGCCTCTCTTAGGAGACTGGCCAAACTCCTATACAACCAACAGGGGGGATTAAGTTGTTTTATGTCACTATCACATTGGACGCTCACATTTTCATTTTAAAGCGAGAGCCTCAACCAGAATGTGAACACTGTCATGTCCCTTTGACAGTTAAACACATTTTGATTGAGTGAAAGCATCTCAAACATACAAGATCACGATATTACCGTTGCCTGTCACTACATCACTTGTTTGCCCAACCGGGTCTATATTGCGAAATGCTAAACATCTTAAAAGAGACTGGCTTTTATTATAAATTTTAATTGTATATATTTGTCATTTCTTTTTTGTATTTAAATATTTATATGCATAAAATATGTATTTTATTTTTAATTTTACTTACTGTGATATTGTTTTTATATATGCATATAATGTTTTTTTTGTGATATAATTTAGCCCGTCATATAATAATCACCATATGTTTGAGGTAATATAGCCCGGTTGGAGCTGATGTGTCATTAAACAACATTTCATTCATTCATTCTAATTACCTGTAATTTTATCTAAATAACAACTTTTATCAAGTATGCTCTTGTTATTTCTTTTTATTTATGTCTTGATTTATAATATTTTTATTACAGCAATTCTTTAGCCAACTTTCTGGTCACACATAATTACGACTACTCTGCTGAAACAGAATTGCTCGGGTCCACCACCGAGACTACTACTGTGCTCAGGTCCACCACCGAGACTACTACTGTGCTCGGGTCCACCACCGAGACTACTACTGTGCTCAGGTCCACCACCGAGACTACTACTGTGCTCGGGTCCACCACCAAGACTACTACTGTGCTCGGGTCCACCACCAAGACTACTACTGTGCTCAGGTCCACCACCAAGACTACTACTGTGCTCGGGTCCAGTACTGTTTCTTTAAATTACTACTATCAGCAAATGATTTACAACACACATCACATTTAAATTACTACTATCAGTAAATGATTTACAACACACATCACATTTAAATTACTACTATCAGTAAATGATTTACAACACACATCACATTTAAATGGTTTCACCCCTGTATACATTCTCATGTGGCTCTTGAGATTCTACATGACTATTTGAGATTACTACATGACTATTTGAGATTACTAGATTACTACATGACTATTTGAGATTACTACATGACTATTTGAGATTACTACATGACTATTTGAGATTACTACATGACTATTTGCAAACATCACATTTATAAGGCTTTTATCCAGCATTTTCTCGAATGTGTTGCTGCAGATCCCCAGTTTTAGAGAATGTGTTGCTGCAGATCCCCAGTTTTAGAGTATGTGTTGCTGCAGATCCCCAGTCTTAGAGAATGTGTTGCTGCAGATCCCCAGTTTTAGAGAATGTGTTGCTGCAGATCCCCAGTTTTAGAGAATGTGTTGCTGCAGATCCCCAGTTTTAGAGAATGTGTTGCTGCAGATCCCCAGTTTTAAAGAATGTGTTGCTGCAGATCCCCAGTTTTAGAGAATGATTTGCTGCAAACATTTATCAGGTTTTGCTTTCTCTATGAGTTCGCATGTGGTATTTTAGATCATACTTTCGTGTAAATGATTTATCGCAAACATCACATTTAAAACGTTTTTGGCCTGTATGAGTTCTGATGTGGTTCTGTAGATTACCAGTCTGACTAAAAGATTTACAACAAACATTACATGTAAAAGGCCTTTCACCTGTATGAATTCTGACATGTTTCTGTAGAGTTCCACTATGACTAAATGATTTACTACAAACATCACACTTATAAGGTTTTTCACCTGTATGAATTCTGACATGTACCTGTAGATGACTACTCTGAGTAAATGATTTCCTACAAACATCACATCTAAAAGGTTTGTCACCAGTATGAATTCTCATGTGGTTCTGTAGATTAAGGGTGAAACTGAAAGATTTACCACAAACATCACATTTATGAGGTCTTCCTCCTGTTTGCCTTTGCTGTTTAACATGTATCTCAGAGTGTTTCTCTAAATCAGTTTCAAAGTTAAATGCTTCATGACACAAATTACACTGATAAACAGTTTCAATATTATCAGTTTTCTCTTCTTTATCAACATCATCAATTTTCTCATCTGTAACATGACAATACCCATCTACATGTACATCATCACTTTTCTCATCTGTAACATGACAATATCCATCTTCATCATCAATTTTCTCATGCATCATATTGTGTTTTTCTAAATCGTCATATTGTTGATAAATCTCTTCACATACCACACACTGATAGAGAATGTTTACATTATCAGTTTCCTGTAATATATAAAAGTTATAACATCATTAGTTTCCTGTAATATATAAAAGATATAACATTAGTTTCCTGTAATATATAAAAGTTATAACATCATTAGTTTCCTGTAATATATAAAAGTTATAACATTAGTTTCCTGTAATATATAAAAGTTATAACATCATTAGTTTCCTGTAATATATAAAAGTTATAACATCATTAGTTTCCTGTTATATATAAAAGTTATTTGTGATATGAATATAAATTTGTAGTTTCATTAAAATCATATTTAAATTGTGACCTATTGACAGTCCACAACTTTGGTATTACATACTTTTACACTATTTGCGCAAAAGGAGCGGCCATTTTGTCAGGTAAGTTTCGGCTGATTTTCCGAAATTCGAAATGAACCATCAATATGTTGTATCAGTGATACATTCAAATGTTTTTTTTTTAAATTGGATAAAATCTGTGACATCTAGAAACACCACAAGCTAAAAACGCAGTGATTTTACGTACAATCAGGGGCCATAACCCAGGAAGTTATAGTCCGAAATGTGCAAATATCCTGAGGAACCGAGATCTTTGGGTTTTAAAGATACTGTATATTTCAAGCTTCTTCAAAATCAGATAAAAATTTTGAACTCTAGAGGGAACACAAGTCAAAAACACTATTCTTCCAGGGAGCCAAGGTGGCTAGGTGGTTAAGACGCTGGCTCGCTAGCCTGGAGGTCAGGTGTTCGATCCCTGCATTAGCCGAGAAAGTTCATCCAGATTTTCCGACGTGGTTTCCCCTTGTCAGTGGTGCAGAACGAAGGGCCTGACAAGGACAGCTGTCTAGTCCTTCGGATGAGAAAAAAAAACCGAGGTCCCGTGTATATATTGGAATGCACGTAAAAGATCCCCTGGCAGTTGGAATTCGATATAAGAGTAGTCGATAGTGCCGCTGCCCGGGCAAAATTTCCATCATAGCACACTGTATGGCGTATGCCCGTCTTCATTAGCCCAGTATAGGAGCAGAACAGTAGGACGTTAAACCCCATTTCATTTCATTTCACTATTCTTCCAATCAGGGGCCATAATCCATGAAGTTACCTTCCGATACATGCCAATAGCATAAAGAAGCGAGGTATGCGGGTGATAAACCTATATTTCAAGTTTCGGCAAAGTTAGATAAAAATTGTGACCTAATAGACGACGGACAGACAGGGGTGACAACAATATTTGGAAATCTAAAAATTGTTATCTCTAGAGTGTCCAGAAGCTAAAAACATAATTTTTCTTAAAATCATTTTTGAAACAGAAACGTTACAATTTTAAATTAAAAATACCAATTTGGCATAAAAAACAGTATGTTATCAAATATAAATAGAAATGATTATTATATGGCTTGAAATAATGTTGGATTTGGGTATATTATGCAAGCAACATATCCCCGTCTTCTAACCGACTATGCAGACTTCATTGAAAGGGTAACGCACAAATTTACGAACTCGGCCATATAAGATGAAACGAAATTTAGGTAAGCCTGGGGGAAAAATTGGGATTTTTGAAAAACTTTGATTGTAAATTATTGTAATTTGGCTAGGCAAAGCAATAAATGACTGAAGATTCTCAACTTTTAAAGATTTCAATTTTTTTCTCCCAGGCTTACCTAAACTTCGTTTCATCTTATATGGCCGAGTTCGTAAATTTGTGCGTTACCCTTTCAATGAAGTCCGCCAAGTCAGTTAGAAGACGGGGACATATTTTTTTAACAGCGTGTTGTGTCGTTCATACTCCATACTGGTTTTAGCGAGGTAAGCAAGGACTTATTTTCTCACTAAGATGTTCATTTATATTGTTCAGGCGTTCACAGGGACTGACACGCGACCGTTTAGCAGTAAAAAGTTGCCCAGTAAAATTGACTGGGAAGCGATTAGATTATCGACAAGGATTCAATAGAATAAGAAGAGTCCCTGAACGTACAGGTGGAGTGTAATGAGACCTACGTTCAGAGCTGAACTAGTACAACCGGGGAATCAAAACCACACCAGTTGACTCAATGACAGACCTTATGATACAGCGTGCACGTGCTAACCATTCGGCCATCCAATCCAACTTTATTCATATTGGCAAGCCTATGTATTACTGTATACTAGTAATAAGAATATTAGGACATTAGCATTACACTTACCATTATTTTGTTAGCTTTTGTGTGACGGAATGGCGAATATAAAAACACAATACAGGATTGCTAATTGGTCTCTTCTACGTCTACAAGTAAAGAAAATAGGTATTCATTTAGTAAACTAGTCTTCAGTGAAGTACAAAGTAACCTTGTCACCGTAAAATGTTTCGTAAGGAAAAATAATTCGTTTCCGGTAGACGGTTGTATACATGAAACAGTCCCGGACCTCTCCAACCCGAATATTTCACAAAAATACTACTTCATTTTAAAATTCACTTCATTCCAGAGATCTTCTTTCAGCAAGATGTATACAGAATCGATAGCCGACATTTCATATTTTCAACCGATAATAAATTAGAATTGTGGTAATGCAAAGAGCTGGTACATTGACGGGACGTTTAAGATCGTCAACAAGCCTTTTTATCACCTGCTATCATTCATCAATTCATAGTTTCCTGAAATAATTAAGGTGATGATATAAAGCAAGCGGCGCTGGATTTCATTTTGATGTCTGGCAAGAGAAGGAAAGGGAGAGAACAACAGTTTATGGCTGATTTGGAACGATAATACTTTTTGATGCAGAAAATTATTTGGATGTCTGGGAAGAGAAGGAAAGGGAGAGAACAACAGTTTATGGCTGATTTGGAACGATAATACTTTTTGATGCAGAAAATTATTTGGAGTTTCTACATTACTGTGCAAAACATTTCACGGAGTAAGAAGAATTGGCTGGCTGTTAAAGAGATGTTATTGCTGGTGGTAAGACAGCTGTCTTTATGTTGATGACCTTACGGGTCGACAAGAGCATGCAGATAAACGAACGTCAGTTGCAGCTTTGCTTGAATTATATTCGATGGGCAACGGACAATGGATGTCGATTTTCGAAATCCACGATTTTTGGCATGCACTTTAGTCAACGAAGAGTTTTACATCCTGACCCGGAGCTAACACTGGATGGAAGCCCCATTCCAGTTGTAGATGAAACAAAATTCTTGTGTTTGATATTTGATAAGAAATTATCATTTATCCCTCGTATTAAAACACCGAAGAAGAAATACCTGTAAGCCCTCAACATATTGCGAGACTTATTAAACACTGACTGGGGAGCAGACCGTAAGGTCTTGCTCAGATTATATCGAGCATTGATAAGATCAAAACTCGATTATGGGTATGAATTGGCCCTCGTGTCTTATCTCAAAGAGCTCGACACCATCCACAACCAAGGACTTAGAATCACTTCTATAAGTGACATTTAGTAATTGAACAGTAAAACACTAACACTATTTATGTAATAACAATCACTGGTTTATTAACATGCAACGTTTCGACGATCATACTCTCGTCTTTATCAAACAAATGATAACATATATGTAAAACATCAAGTATTTATATACAGTAAAAATGATAAGATATATGTAAAACATCAACAAGTATTTATATACAGTATAAATGATAAGATATATGTAAAACATCAAGTATTTATATACAGTATAAATGATAAGATATATGTAAAACATCAACAAGTATTTATATACAGTATAAAAAGAAGCCATAAATATAGACCTTATATATAACTAGATAACCTTATATATAACTAGATAACCTTATATATAACTAGCACTGATCAAAGCTATGATAGTGGTTACAATGTACCGAAGCCGATCGGCGCACGAGCCCTCATTGCACGACAGACGTGATAATCTGGAACTGCAGTACGCTACCAAAATTGCATCTCTGCTTCATTATATTTCATTTAACACCATATTTAAACCCTATCATGAAAATCTATATTTACTGAAAACTATAACATTAATCTATCATTCAGTATTCGCATTCAACTCCTTTTGTCTCAGGCTGGTATCAGTCAAGAAAGTATTGCGAATACCACGTTCTTTGAGACACCACCATGGTCAATATCTCCTCCCAAGATCGATCTAGATCTTACAAAAAACAAAAAGAAAGATACTAGTTCCACAGTGTTTCAGTCTCTTCAGAGAGTTAAGGTCTGAATATGGTGATTATGCTCCAATTTATACAGATGGTTCCAAAGATGGTGATAAAGTAGCTTAGGCTACTGCCACGCGGCCACGCCATCTGAGACCATTTCTGTTCGCCTTCCTTCTGCTGCTACCATATTTAATGTTGAACTCCAGGCCATCTTTCGTTAACTGGAGTTCATTAAATCTTCTTCATTTTTAAAGTACGCCATATTCACTGTATCGTTGTCCTCCCTACAAGGAATAAACAGCCTGTACACCTATTAGTAGCAGATATTTATCGTCTGCTACTATCACACGGGTTTAACAGAAACGACATTGTCCATTGCTGGCTCCCCATGTCTGCTTTAGGTCTTCCCATATCACAATTTATGTTGCCTTTAATAGATTTTAAATCTTCCATTAACCTTTTTATTTATTGCCGCTGGCAACGGCCTTAAAATTTTCGTGCAAATTGGATTATAATTTCTTGAACTATGGCACCTGATTGTATGAAAAATCTTGCTTTTATTTTTATCTGATTTTTTTAAAAAAGTTTGAATATATTACCGTTACGTCATAATGACGGTTGAGTTCAAATTTCGTGAAAATGGGACCGAAACTGCTAGACAAAATGGCCGCTCCTCGTGCGCAAATAGTGTAAAACTATGGTATATCAAGGTTGTGGATCATCTCTAGAGGTTAAAATTTTCATCCGATTTTGATGAAACCTGAAACGTATGCATATAACCCAACGATCTTGTTTCCTTTCGATATTCGGATATGGGATTGTAACTTCCTGGATTATGGTCCCTGATTGTACGAAATTTCACGTTTTTTACTTTGTGGAACCTCTAGAGGTCGCAATTTTTATCCTATTTAAAAAAAAGTTTTAATATATCATCGTGACACTCTAATGATGGTTACGTTTGAATTTCGTGAAAACCGGATCGAAACTGCTCGACAAAATGACTGCTTCTTGTACGCAAATAGTGTGGACCCTTTAGAGGTCACAATTTTTATCCGATCTTGATGGAACTTAATCTATATGTTTATATCCAAAAGATCTTGGTTCTTTATGGATTATGGCCCCTGATTGTACCAAAAGTCGCAACCGCTGGTATTCCAATATAATATACAGCTAAATATATGTATAGGACTTACGAGTGTGTAGTGACAAATGAAATAATACCGACATTATTTTACATAAAGAATTTATAATCAATTTGATTACATAGTATATACATAAATAAAACTCAGGTGATCTTTGATAGTTACAGTGTATTATTATTTTATTCTAATTTTAGTATGTTTACTGTAATATATCACAAAATGTAAAATAAGAAATTCTGTTGTCTGTTCATAAAAAAAATCATTTCGACACAAAAGTTGGTTTGGGTTTTATTTCGTGCAGACTGGACGTACCCTTTGCTTATTCTACCCTATAAATGGATGTATCCCGTGAACCTTTGCTTATTCTACCTTCAGACTAGATGTACCCCGTTACCCTTTGCTTATTCTACCCACAGAGTGGACATACCCTTTGATTATTCTACCACCAGACTTCCATCTTTAAAGGGATGAAATAATTAGAAAGTGTAATCCTTGAGTGGCATTTAGCGATTGAGCACATTAAAAACACAACGCAATTTATATGGAAAACAATCACTGGTTTATACACATATAGCCTGACGTTTCGACAAGTATTCTCTTATCGTTTTCAAGTACAAAATACATTTTACCATTGATCCACGAATCGTGTACCATAATGCGTTTCAGCACCATTTGTAACAATTAAGGGACTCGAAGAATGAGGCTAGACATATTCCACAAGTCATGTCAAATGATGACACCATATTCTTATCTGGAGAACATGGGCAATAAATACCATCGGTGTAGATTTGAATAACCAGACGTTAGAGATCGCCATTCGATTGAGACTTCTGGCTTATTTCGCCGAACATAACTGATTTGAAATTAGGCTTATTTCGCCGAACATAACTGATTTGAAATTAAGGTAAAAACGGAAACGATGGAATGTAAATCAGTTTATATGCATTCATATTACATTATTATAAGCATTGCGACCCATTTGTGTTAATTTCTATCTCCCAAACATTAGCGAGCTCCTTTAAACATGGATTATGCAAGAGCAAAATCTGCCTATTACAAGTCTTTCTTTAGGCCTGAAATGTTATCTAAATTATCAATTAGACATTAATTAACTTATCCAGACCATAATAAACTCTCGATGTCAAGGCTAGCCTTCGATGTTGGCTGGATTAGATTACTATATGCCGCTAACGGCCATTGATAATTAAATTTTAAAAAAGTGGATAATCGAGACTATGCTGTTTATATTAATGATTTTAGTAATGATGACCGACACTATGCAAAAATTTCACCCGCTTCTTTCTCGGCTCATAGTGGATCAATTTGACTGAAATTTTCAGCAAATTACATTTACACTATCTAGTTTTTAACTATTATAGCGAGAACTGCCATCTTTTTATCTTATCTCCCATAATGTATCTTTAAATTAAAAATGACAATTTGGTATGAAGAATGATATATTATCAAATATCAATACATATTATTGTGGGATGAGTAGAAATAATGGTGCATTAGGGGGATATTGGTAGATTTGGGTGGATATTGGTAGATCGTTTCTACCGCGTTTCAGTTGATTATCGAGCATCCCCCAATAACACCCGCATTTATGAATTGTTAGTGAAGGTTTGGTCCAAGTCCACAATACACATACATACTACATACCGGAAGTGTTCGATTTTGTCTTTGCGTTGGCGATTAGAACGTTGAACACTGATTTGTAAAATGGTATGATAATTTTATTAATTCACTGAATTCGCCATTCTAGAAGGCAAGGTGGTACAGGAAGGCCTACCTGTTCCTACAGTAATACATGTGATCTTCTCAAGAGATAAATGACACGGATCAGATTTACTTTATAATGAAATAACAAACCTCATCTCTCAACCCTCCGTGTTTCGAGATAAGAGATGGTCCTATATAGTTCCACGTAGCAAAGTCGAACGCGAATCACATCCGCCTCAGTAAGCAAAATTGACAATATTTTTCATCAAAACAACGATTGTTTATTGTTATTTATAACATTTCTGCAAGATCCAACTACAATTAAGCAGAAAATCCTACCTGACACGGGTACAAATCCTCTCTT